TGGCGGCTCATGGAATGAATATGAGGGAGTGTCAGTGATGACACGGCCATCGCTTTATTATAGAAGCATGTTTCTTTACTAGAACGCAAAATGTTCTATTACGGTGCAAATTGCAAATCCTTTAAATCTGAACTCCAGGCCGATAAAAGACACAAATTAATGCCACTCTGCTCTCATCAATACATCATTACATTTATTTATTTCAGTGCAAGCAGTCTAAGTACCTGAATTTGCCTCATGCAATCCATGGTGCAGCAGAGCTCAGGCTATGAGAGGGAGAAGCAGCCCTGGTAGCCAATCAATTTTACTGTAGTGCTCATGTGCAAGAATCCTGAAAAGAGGAAAAAGCATAGTGCCAGAGAGGATGAACTCATCCGTCTGCTGCTTCTTTTTTCACTGTCCAGTCACAGGCTAGGATTAGCTGATTGGCAGTAGTCACTGTTTGGCCAACAATTTTGAGCCCAGCTTCTTTGACAAAAGTCGGAGGGGTGCTGTCGGGGCCACACATTGCTTGCACTATTTTTTTTCCACTGCACCGCAAGGCAACACACGATATTGCGGTACTGCATGTTCTGTTGCTCTGCAACGCACGTCAGACGGGAAGCACTTTGCGGTGCCATTCAAATGAATGGCGATGCAACACACCTAGCGCACAGCAACAAATACTAGGTGCGCTGTGCGAATGCAAGAATTCATCACACAGTATTGTGGCCAGGGGCGTCCCGAGTGTCACCCAGAGCAGGTACTGGGTGACACCCCACCGTGACCTCATCGCGCATGCGCGGCCATCTTGGTGATACCTGCCGGCGGCCATCTTGGTGATGGACGCCGGCAGAGAGAGGGGGGGGGGCGTTCACCCGGCGGGATAAGGTATGACGCCGCGTCCCCTCCTCTCTCCTGACACTGTCGGGTTCTCGGTCCATGACCGAGTGCCTGACCTTTCAGAGGGGGTCACACCAATATGACTGTCAGTCATTTTGGTGCCACCCCTCCAATGGTGTCACCCGGGTGCCGTGTGACGACACTGATTGTGGGATTAGCGCAACATCATGGTGTATACGGGCCCTTAAGCTGCCCATACACTGTGAGTTTCTTCTCGTTCTGCCCCTCAGGATGAATGAAAAAAAATCTCTCGATTCCCCCAGCCATGTTAACAGTGAGGATGAGGGATTCCCCCCACCGGTCTATTGAATTCTCTCCAAGGTGGGTGTGTCCGAGCAGTACCTGCAGGAGATTGGCCGAAGACTCAGCCAAAATTCAACTAGTGTATGGCCGGCTTTAGGGTCCATTTAGATCCACCAATCCAATTGGTTGATGATGTGTGCCTTAAAAACGATAAAACAGAAAAAGAGAGGACGACCTAAGTGAAGATAAAGCTAGAGAACATCAGTTCAAGGCTGCCAGGTAATCGTCTTCCAGCCCGGCCGGTATGGGTGTACCTGAGCTATACAGTAACAATTGTGACGCAAGCCGCACACGGCAGATCATAAAAGAGAGGAAGGGGCTGACACTGAACCCGCTCAGTCAGTGAATGCAGACTCTTGCAGGATTGACCTTCACCCCGCTCACGTTCTGCATACATTGTGTGTTAGACCTGCGGAATCGTCTCTGACCTGCCATCCAAGTATAACCGCTGATAAAAGACGATAAAACAGAAAAAGAGAGGACGACCTAAGTGAAGATAAAGCTAGAGAACATCAGTTCAAGGCTGCCAGGTAATCGTCTTCCAGCCCGGCCGGTATGGGTGTACCTGAGCTATACAGTAACAATTGTGACGCAAGCCGCACACGGCAGATCATACATGAGAGGGAGGGGCTGACACTGAACCCGCTCAGTCAGTGAATGCAGACTCTTGCAGGATTGACCTTCACCCCGCTCACGTTCTGCATCTTTCAAACCTTGAATCGGTTGGACTGACATAGTCATTTACAACGCCGTTCACCGCCACGTTCACCGCACACCTGCAGCCGGCCGAGTCTGAGCTGCCAACGTCCCAACTCCTGCTGATGGAAAATCGCTCTGCGTCACAAATTGTGTGTTAGACCTGCGGAATCGTCTCTGAACTGCCATCCAAGTATAACCGCTGATAAAAGAGGATGATGGACAGCTACGGATCTGTTGTTCCTGACTTGTCCACCTTCCAGAGTTTGCTGTTGTGGCATGTGTGCAAACCTGAGCGCCCGCCATGTTATGTTTTAGTTGTTTTTTATGCCCCCCCCAACCACCCTGCTAAAACATAACATGGAGGGCACTCAGGTTTGCGCACATGCCCAGACGCTTTGCTTTGTGGCCGCAGCATATTCTATACAGCAGTCAATGAGACCATGCTGCAACTACGTGCAAACCGCTTACTACACGGTTGCGTTACAGTATTGCAATGCAAAATCCCCATTGGCACTTAAAAACAAAAAACAGGAGGCAGCAGTGCTGCTTGCTCAGTAGCTCAGCTTAACTTGCTTCCTCTCCCAGCAGGGACTCAGCAGCGGACTGCTGAACATCTGCACACCTTCGTTCAACCGCGCTCTGAAAAGTGATCCGCACTGGTGCGGCAGTAAAAGTCCAACGCAGGTGTAAACAAGGCCTAAGGCCCCGTTCACACCAGGGCGGTTCGGACGCGCGGATCCGCCTACATGAAGGATCCCATACATTGCTATTGGGAGCGTTCATGCGACCGTGCGGCTCAGAGCGATCCGAACCGCCCCCCCCGCCCGAATTGCTCCCTGCACTATTTTTGCCGTGCTGATCACTGCGATTTCCATACAGCTTTCAATGGAACCGCGCTAATCAGTGCTAAAACGCAATTAAAAACTCCCAAAACCTCCCTTTTAAAATCAGCGCGGAAACCGCGCTGATCCGCAGCCGCCCTGGTGTGAATGGTCTCTAAAGGAGTGGAAGCTGCTCACTTAGCAATCTTAGTAAATAAGGGGAAGCTGTGCTCACTTTGAATGCCCCATTGCGTGCTAACAAAATAAAATCCTTTTCCTTCTTTTATAGAACAAATCCAGGATTTTTGCGGTGAAATGCTCATTTTGGCCTAAGGCCAAAATAAAGAAGATATACGCACCCGATCCTCGGCCCCGTGGCAGTGACCGCTCACCTCTCTCCCCCTCTACTCTGTTATGTCCCTTGGCATCTTCACGTCCAATGGACTGTGTTAGATGTGATGACATCACAGGTTCTTAGACCACCAGAGCCCGGGGGAGAAGAGGCTGCAGGAACCGGTCTAGCAGCCAGATACCGAAAATCAGGTGAGTATTTCTTTATTTTCACCCCTAGACCAAAATGATCAGTGCACCCCTGCAGTTCAGGGGTAGCCGCACTGCGATGGCTAACTTTAACAAATCCTGGAGTTCCTTCTTTAAATTCTCCTCGTGCAGAATCATGTATTCAAAGTGCATACTGGTTCTCTTTATTTACTAACATTCATTTTACAAAGTCAATACACACTTTGCAAAGTAAACATTCACTTTGCAAGGTGGACAGACATCACTCCTTTAGTAAATCAACCGCATTGTGTTCTTTAGGGTTTAGATTGAAATGTGCTCCTTAGCGGCTGTGTAATATCGGGAAAAGGGAGGCGGGTCACTAATGGCTACAATGTAGCAGGCTTAAAGTGTATGTGAGGGCAAAAATAAAAAACAGATTCAGCACATTTCTGCAATACATGCACGTCTCCATGTTTTATCCCGTCGAATATGCTGCAAGTACAAAAAATACCTATAGATCTGCCTGACATGTATTTCACTTTGGTCTGACAACACAATGCCTTTTCTGCACTCAATTTCCCAGCAGCGTTGTCAGCCCTGCTTCCTGGACTACAGAACATCATAAATCCCAGCCTTTCTCTGTCCCACTCCCCAAGCACACATTAATTTATTTCCCAGGAAAACACAGCATCATGCCCTTTCCATGGGGCAAGGAGGCTTCTGATGTAAATGGGGGGACTCTGATGTGAAATGGTAGCTTCTGATCTAAAGGGGGGGACTCTGATGTAAAGGAGGTGCTTCTGATCTAAAGGGGGTCTTCTGATGTGAAGGAGGGGCTTTTGATGTAAAGGGGGGCTTCTGATTTAAAGGAGGGGCTTCTGATGTAAAGGAGGGACTTCTGATGTGAAGGAGGGGCTTCTGATGTAAAGGGGCGGCTTCTGATTTGAAGGAGGGGCTTCTGCTGTAAAGGGGAGGCTTCTAATGTGAAGGAGGGGCTTCTGATGTAAAGGGGCGGCTTCTGATTTGAAGGAGGGGCTTCTGCTGTAAAGGGGAGGCTTCTAATGTGAAGGAGGGGCTTCTGATGTAAAGGGGCGGCTTCTGATGTGAATAGGGCTCTGATGTGAAAGGAGTATTCTGATATGAAAGGGAGAGGGGGCTTTGATGTGAAGGAGGGGCTTCTGATTTAAAGGGCGACTTCTGATGTGAAAGAGGAGCTTTTTATGTAAAGGGGGGCTACTTATGTGAAGAAGGGGCTTCTGATGTGAAGGAGGGGCTTCTGATGTGAATAGGGCTCTTGATGTAAAGGAGGACTCTGATATGAAAGGGAGGGGGGAAGCTCTAAAGCGTAGGAGGCTCCTAATCCTAAAAACAATTTAAACTGTCCAGAAACTATCGTGCAGAGAAACACCAACCGAGGGAGAGATACAAATAGGAAGAGAGAAAACATGGAAACCTAAAACCTGGCCATGTAGTGCTTGAATCAGGACACAATTCAAGGCATATGTGATCCTGCTGGCACCACTCCTTTTTAAGAAAATTCGATCGACTTTTGTTGAAGGAGCTGGTCCTAAAATCGGCAGGCAAACAGTGACGACAGCCAATAAGCTGCAGTCGATGTTCAAGTGTCAGAATACAATACCCTGGCAGAGGAGGATTCTCTATACACGATATTTAGCATGAAATGAACCCACGTACTGAATGAGAATAGAACGCCAAGTGTATGGCCACCTTAACAGACGCGGGCGTACCCCTTATTTCTTCTGATATGTGCAAAAAATATTTGATAAATGTTACCTTGAACACGCAGGCCTTGGCATTCAGGAAGAACAATTCAACAGTTGTGACCTCCTTCAGAAACGTTATACTTTCAATGTAAAACCTGAAAGGAGGAAGAAATAGGAAACAAGTTATTTTTCATGTGTGCAGAGGAGGTATGACCACAGCCCGTGTCTGCGAGAAGCATTTACAGTTGTTACAGTCGAAAAACTATTCATTGTTCTGACCAGAGGTGAGGCTAAGAACAAAGAGCAAACACAAAGTAAATGCTTACTACTATTGTGTCCTGAATAATACATTTGAAGTATTGTGTACAGGTCTACTATGGCAAGTGACAGGTTAAAGAGACCCTGTCACCAGGCCATTCATCAGTCTTCCCTTTAGATTATATTATTTATTATTACAGTTACAG